AAATTTAATATGGCAGAAAGTATTAAATGGGTAAACAGTATGTTATCAAGCAATAACCTGCCTTTAAGAAAGGGTGGATCATAGCCAAGAATGCCAGGAGGTAACATGAAGCCACATGACCCACAAATGTGACATATACTTCGATGCTTAGGGAATGTTTACCAGCTAACCATGAGACTGTATATTCAACATATGGATCAAGTTGTGACCACTCAGTGCAGTGACTAAAGTGTCTGTTTTACCATTTGGGGCAATACATGAATATATTATAAATTTACAAATGCTCCATGAACAAATAAATTTGGCAAATGCTAGTATATATGCCAAAACCTGAAATACAGATTGAAATAACTAAGAGAAAATGTTGGGATTTACTAGAGAATTTAGTAACTTAGATTACTGAAAACAACAACTTGTCAGAGCAGACTGTTATGGGACATTTGCCTTTTATAATAGTGCAACTCTAAGAAAAATTATTCAGAATGAATATTACTCCTTAATCATCTAATCCCCCCAAAAATCTGTTGTAACACAGTACACAGATTAACCTAGATATATCAGGGACGTTTCAGCAGGAAACAAAGAGCATACTCAAACTCAAAAACTTGATGGTAGTAATTCCAAGAACTTCACGAAGACATGGGATGGGCGGGACATGGGACCAACAGGAGACAGTCTAGTGCCCCAGAGCTAGCAATACTGAGAAGCAGTACCCAGCCTGTGCTCTGAGGGGCAAGGAAGGGGGGAGGGGTAGTTAACCGAAGCCCAGAGATGGTAACTGTATGCAGACAGCCATCTGGGAGAAGCTATGGCCTCCGACAGGAGGTGCCATCAACCCTTAGTGACCTCACAGGGAGGAAGGTAAGGAAATAAATACCCCAAACCTACACAACGCCTTCCCGTCCCTCTCACTGCCTACCCCAATCGGAACCAAAAGGCAAGGGAGCCTGTCAATAGTGTTCATAAAAGCCAGGTTTTGGGGGCACAGGACAAGGTGAGGAAGAGTGGAGAGTGGACCTGCCAAGCAAACAGCCACCTGAGGTGCATTTCAGCTTTTCCTCCTTCTCATCTTTACAGACAAGAATGCCCAAGACGTGAACCTTTTCAAGAGAGGTCTTTAAATGACTCAATTATAAAGTCTCATCAATAACCAAGAGCTTACTATAATCTGTATAAAAGAAGCTTTACCCAAATCTGGGCCAAAGGTTACAATCTGTATTTGGCAAACAAAGTTCTTGAAGTTACTAATACCATTTTAAATCTAACCGCAGATTTGAGGCTAGCTAATAAACTATACAACTTTTCTTTGATCTGCATGGTGAAAAAACCCTCCCTATGGTGTGTTTAATTTTTGTGAGTGAGAGAACACTTCAAATAACTTTCACAGTTTAAATTCTATAGAGGTTTGCATAAAACCCGAAGATGAAATCATGGTACAATAAAATAGCCTCTTGAATTGTTTTCAACCATATTTCCTAACACAGACATTTCTCACCAGGATCTTTAAATAATTATTCCATACATCCAAGATTCCATTAAATGATGTCCAAGAAGAGGCAAAATTAACCTATAGGTTCTTTCTGATGGCAAGAGGACTTGGGCTGGGAAAAGGCATGAACAAACTTCGGCGGTGCCGTTAGAAGCATTCTGTATCTAGATGTTGTTCTCTGTCTTGGTAAATTATGTCACATACCAAGAATCACTGGGCTGTACAATGAAGAGGAGCACACCTCACACACCCACCGCCTTTTAGAGGTCTACTGTATCTCAATTTAGTAAGACAGTTACCCTACTGAAGGACTTCCATGATTACCTACTCAGCCAATATCTTAAGGAAGAAAATGTGTGGGTCAGGCAGTTACCAGAGGTCAGCAAACTAGGGTCCACAGGCCACACGCTTCTTTCCTAAGTGGAGCTTTCCTGGAACGCAGCCACCAGCTGCTTTCACACCCCAGCTGTGGGGTCCAAGAGGTGCAAAAGACACCTGGGAAACGCAAAGCCTCAAGTATTTTCTATCTTACCCTTTAAGACAAGTTTGTCAACCCCTGACTTAATCTTCAAATAATATATTTAACAGGCGAAGGACTCAAAAGACAAATTACTCCGTTCATCGCCATCAAGAATTTCATAAAACTCTCACGTGGGGATGGCAGTGTTCTTTGGCCTTGAGCTGATCAGCACCACAGGTTTATGTTAAGACATAAAAAAAACCCAGCATTTTATTTGTCCTTATACAATGCTAATTTAATTTGGTGTCACTGTTTTAAAATAAAATACTTTTTTTTTTTTTAGAAAAAATTAAGATATTTGGCATATTAAAAAAAAAAAAAAAAAAGGTGGAAGATCAAGCAACACTGACCCCTCCCTATCCCTCCAAGGGAACAACGAGTTGAAGTGACTCCAGCACCAGTGAGGGTTAAACATCAGCTGACCCCTCCCACTAGCCTTCATCATCCCCTGTTATGACAGAGTTGAGACAAAATGAAATACTGCTTCGATTTTGCCTATATGAAAAGTAGGAAAACAAAAGACAGAGGGTCAAGTGTTTCTAACCGCTCAGCTCACTTACTACTGTCATGGGCATGTGAGTTTGCAACCTTAGGTTTAAGCAATGGCCCCAAGGGAAAATGGCAGAGCAGAATGAAAGATACCGAGGAGCAAAAAGGGCAATAGTTAACGTGATGCTTGCAAACATCAAGTGGCAGGGATCTCCCCTCACATCTTCCCAGTGGCCTTACTCCTGTCTCAGGGCACTTCTGTTAAAAAGCTTTGTCCTATTTTTGCAACCTCTTGTGAGTCTATCTGTAATTATTCTAAAAATAAACGTTTAATAAAAAGAAAACTATTGTTTCCTTACACTGATTAAAAACATGCCTTCCTTCCCATACCTTAACTGATCCTTAACTATAGGACAAATTGACTCCCTTTTCTGCCAGAAAGTTCCACCATTATCTACAGCTCTCTTGCCCAGATCCCCAACAGTCTCCTTTCTCAAAGAACTACAAAAGTAACAAGACTTTCACATTTCTTGTCCTATACAATATTCATTCAATCAGCAAATATTTATGGAGCACCCACTTTTGACTAAGGTACTGTTCTAGACTCTGGGTATGTAACAGTGAACTATGTTCTTGCCTCGTGGAACCTACAATTAAATTATTATGTCTAATAATGTAGCATAAGCTACCATTAGACTCTGTAGCAGCCATATCATAATATCAATTTTATTGCATGTATAGCTTACTAAATTCCCTAATCCTTTCTCATATATACACTGCTCAGACTGTATAGTCAAGCAAGCAGGTCACTGGATCCAAATGTTTTTTATGGTCATCCTTGCTAAATATTATTTTTTTTAGAATCTGTTCTTTCCGTCAGTCTGTCAAGAACTTTTGGAATGCCAATGTCTTTTCTACCTTAACACACACCCTACCCTTGTCCGTAAATCTGATAAATAAACCTCTCTGTAGAGTCAACCAAATCAGTCATTAAAATGTTTAACAGGACAATACTGAGGTAACTAAGAACCCCATGACATCTCACTAGCATCCACCTAGACATGGATCCATTATTCAGTCTCCTGCGGCATCCCGCACTCAACCTGCTATGAGTCCACCTGACTGCAGTATCATATTAACATCTGTCCACAAGAAAATTACTGGGTTCAAGTCAAACACCCTCCTAAAGGTTAGTTACTTACCAATTTTCCCTCATCATCTTGGGGGGAAAAGGAGGATTTTTTTTAAATGGGAAGGGAACAGTTAAAAAGGAAGACCAATGGAAGAATAGGTCATTATACAGCTTCTAAAAATAAATCAGAAATCTTTAAAAATGTTAGATATATTTTTAAGAAGAAAATCAGTTTGAGCGGAAGTGGAAATCGTGCCATTCCTGAAAAGCAAAAACCTGTTTTTGAGACAATTTATGTTGTTATATGGACTTTACAGACACACTGGCTTTCGCCATGGTACAGTTGAACACAATTAGCGAATTTAATCTTTGGAAACTGTTTTCTATTGTTAAAGCCAAACGACTTTCCCCACCACCCCAACCCCCTGCTGAAATAAACTTTTTGCCTTCAATACAGTCACTGCTGGTTATTAAAAAAACGGAAAGGTCTTTGAATTTCAACAAGTATATCTGAACTCTATAAATTCTACAATTCATATTAGGGAGTCAAGCTGAACTATTTGAAAATGCTAATATATATGAATAAGGCATAAAGCATGAAGCACAAGTTAATCTTCAGCACTTGGGATTGAAATCACATAACAAGATAATTCATGAATATGGTAATAATTGCTCTCTGGCACAAAACCTGAAAGCACGTTATGCATTCTAAGCAAATTTTACATTTTAAGTAAACTTCCTGAGTATCATCTTCAAACTTTAGAATTAACATCTGGCACAAGTCATTGGACACAATCCGGGATTTTTGACAATTTGGCAAAAGTGGCATTAACAGTTGACGTTTTTCCCCCCAACTAAGGAGAAAAGTTTTACCCAACAGAAACAAGTTTATGTGAGGCACAGAGAACCATAAGAAAATAAACTTAAACCTTTAGCCCTGTTTGTGTCAAGAAGGGTCATTAAATGTTACTGAAAAATAATTTTATTCATTAAAGCCAGATTTTTACTACTCATACCTTCTTTTTAACCCAGTAGATGTTAAATCTATCTGGAAAATAACAAAATGAGATTTACTGCTAAATAGTCTAAATTTGTCCTTCACCAAACTTCCAAAGCCAACTGAAATAGCATTATTTCAATGCTGACGTAATTAAAGCACAACACCTCACCCTGTCTGGTGTCATATATGAAACTTACAAGGTTTCTATTTTATTCCGTGGAGAGGTCTTAAACATAAGTACTTAAAAGTGGACCTGTGTTCTATCATATATCCAATTTGCTATAATTCTTCTCCTGCTCTCAAAATTGACAGTTTGGGAATTGTAGAATGTTAACCTCCAGAGCAATTTCTTTCCCTCCCAATTGCTTACCTGAATATATTTCCGCTGTGTCTCATCATTTAAAACATGTGCAACATGCTTAGAAAAAATCTTTTCTCTGCCAGTTCTGGCATGGATACCAACCATGGTGACACCTATGGGCCAAGGGGCATTTCCAATGGCCATCTGAAGATAAGCATCATTAGCCTAAAAAGAAAAGTTTAAGAGATTAGAAAAGGAAATACTGGGTTGGTCCCAATTTGTGAAGTATTTCCCAGCCCTTTATGACATAATTTTCATCCATCTCTTGAGCATGTTGAAAGTATTACCGTTCCCATTATTCAAACAAAAGAAATTAAAATATGAGGTGATGGACTGCCCTGCCCAAGTCCATGGAAAACCAGAAACCAAAGCTAATCCTGTGAGTAAAAAGACAAACATTCCTTTGTAGCCTTTGTGCACTGGCAACTAACACATTTCAGATCTGGAATTACCAGGCAGGTAATTTGATGCACTGACAGAAACTCTAGTTTGGGTCTCCTCTAGACCCAGTCTTCTCCGCAGGTGGTCACACGCTGAAGATGGAGGCTAACTGGTTCTTCAGAATCCAACCTGCAACTATGTCTACTGTGTGCACAGCCCTGCAGGCCTCTGAAAGCAGTGGGGGCTCTGTGAGCTGGGACTATCATACAGGGTCCACAGCAGAGGTGTAAACAGATTAAATACTAACCCTCGAGCCGAATAGTTACAGGATGAGATCGTTTCACTTTGGCCCCTCTACACCTCCCACCTGCCAATAACGTTAAAAGAAAAGCTACAGAATGTAAGGAGAGAACCCGCTGAAGAAATGGCTTTTTTTCTAAACCAAGTCTGGCTACCTAGAAGGAAAAAAAGGAGAATAAAATAGAAATCAAGTAAATTCTGAAAGACCCCTAGGGTTTCAGGGAGGTTCATACAGTCAGGTCTCGAGGAGATTTTAGTTTTGAAAACCAAAGACCTATGTGATTGATATGCAGAGTTGATTTTAAAAATCAGGTACTACAAATAGGCTAACTGGAAGATCATTTCTACCCTGAACACAAATTTGAATTTGCCCTACTCAGTTTTATAAAGTTTAATTTTAAAGAACATGTTACACACTTTTATCACAGATTCTGACTTGTATCACTCTTCACACTGGATATTAACTGATAAAATGTCCAATATTTAGTTCCCCCAAATTTCTAAGGAAAGCTGCCCAAACAGGTTATTAAAGTTTCTTGGTTCTTCAGTTTACATAAAATAAACTTTCACATGCCTCTCAAATATGAAAATGCAAAAAGTAACAAAAGGGAAGGCATGCTCACTAGTTGGCAAGTGATTTGCTTTCTTTCTGCAGTAACAGTGATCTTATCCATCCATTCCGAGGCAACCGTCCTTACTAAGTACCATGCATCTACTAGAAACTATAAAGGCATAAAATTTATAGGCACAAAACAAAAACATTCCCTTTGATAAAACAAACTGGCTCTCCAACAGAGCGAGTAAAATCACTACATTCGCCTCATGAGCACGAGGCTCCAGCCCCCACATGTGCTAGCCCACCCTCTGCTTGAGTACAGAAACTCCAACCGCAGGAGTAAGCACTGGCACCCCCACTTTTCTGCCAGAGGCCCACCTACTACTCTGGAATGGTCAGTAGAACTGTTGGCTGAAACTCCCTCCTCCTCACTCCTGAGAGGCACTGCCACTAGAAGCTTCCCTCTTGAGACTCTGCTGATGGGCCAGACGCAGGGGCACATTTCCAATCCCCACTACTGGTACGGCAGGCATTCTTTTTACGTTCCCTGCACCAACTGACAGCCTCCCACTCCCCTTTCTGAACTCCACTCCAGGAGCGCTGGGCCACGGGAAGCTCTTTCCTCCTGCCGCAGCCTCGAGCCCATTCGGGATCAAAGACACTGGGGCAAGGGGAAAAGTCTTCCCTAACAAGGGGTCTGCTATTGCTGTTCTGAAATGGGAGGGATGAATTCTGGCGGCCTTACTTGGAACATTTTCTTATACAAGTATAAAGGGTGGTTAAATTCCATTGTATCATTAGTACAATAATTTAACTGTATTACAGATTAGGTAGGCTTTTATAGCTGGAGTGGGAAACTAATCTACATAACATCGTTTCTATGGGAAAATTTGTTCCAAGCCATAATCTTGAATAATCTTTGAAATCCAATCCCATTCATGAAATGAACATTGCCTATAGCCAGTTCATACTCTGAAGAATCTTCACACCTACCTTAAAAATGACTAAAAAACCAATGTGGTCAGAAAAGTTTATTATCAATGCCTAATAAGAAAGCTGACAATGAATTAGATAAAAGGTTTTGGGTTTGTTTTTTTTTTTTTTTTTTTTTTTTTTACTACTAATTCATTTCACATTTATGCTTCAAGCTCCTATGTAAAATACTCCCACACCAAATGAAGGTATTATGCACATACAACCTAGATAAGCTCATAACCATGATACTGATGCCCAACATGGTAATGTACCTTTACATATTCTCTCTGCAACATGAATTTAATAATATCTGTTATGGATTCTTTAATATCAGCAGGAAGATTCTGGAAAAGAAAAAAAAGCATTAACTATTTTTGGAAGCTACTGTGTATAATTACAGACTGCCATTTATTCAAACTTTATATATTCTTTTTTTTAATCAGTTATGTAACAGCATTTTTCGAGGAACCTTACCCTTTTCCGTAGCTTTCTGAAAAGGGGTCTGAGATAGGACTCAGTCTGTTTTTGAGTAGCACTGTTCAGTTTGCCCTGCACACTGCGCTTCACATAATCTTCTCTGGCATTCAGTTCTTTAGCCCAAACACCAAGAAGAAACTGTTGAAAGAATGGGTAAATTTAGACTACGATGCCACCCAGTGGTTCAAAAGGTTTAAAAGTTCTCTAACTCACAAACAATATATATTTAAATTAAATTTTTTTCTAATTAAAATAGCATCAATATCTAATGAACTATTTCTTATTTTGTCATACACAACATATATATTTTGTAGTGCTTTTGGCAAGTCACAAACTTCCCTATTCTATGTATGTATGTATTCCTAGTTCAAAGATAATCAATTTCCCCCTAACAAGAACTATCAAATTTCATATTTCATAGGTAACTTTGACAGAAATAAACTTTCACTCGTATTTCTACTAAAATTCAACCCACCTAGACTTATTTGCCATAATACCATATGTGCTGTGATAATTAATCCTCCAAGTATGATGTTGTAATACAGGCATACCCCATGGACACTGCAGGATTGGTTCCACACCACCGCATTAATAAAGCAAGTTCACAATAAAGTCAAGTGAATTTTTTAGTTTCCTAATGCACATAAAGTTATGTTTACACTATAATGTAGTCTATTAAGTATAGGACATTACATCTAAAAAAAAAAACCATATATATACCTTAATTAAAAAATACTTTATTGCTGGGGTGCCTGGGTGGTTCAGTCGGTTAAGCATCCGACTCTTGATTTCAGCTCAGGTCTGTTCTCAGGGTCATGAGAGTGAGCCCCCGCATCGGGCTCTGCGCTGGGCACGGAGCCTACTTGAGATTCTCTCTCTTCCTCTCCCCCTCCCCCCTTAAAATTTAAATACATTATTGCTAAAACAGGCTCATCATCATCTGAGCTCTCATGTCCTAATCACTGATCACAATTAACCATGACAAATACAGTAACAAAGAAAAAGTTTGAAATATTGCAAGAATCACCAAAATGTGACAGAGACACAAAGTGAACAAATTCTGTTGGAAAAACAGTGCTGATACACTTGCTCCACACGTGGCCGCCACAAACCATCCATTTGTAAAAACTACAACAACAAAAACCCCAAAACAACAACAAAAAACCACCGAAGAAAACAGCATTATCTGCAAAGCACAATAAAACCAAGCACTATAAAACAGGGTACGCCTCTATTTGGACTTTCTGCTTTTGTAGTAGAGATGATGATTTAATTAAATATTCCCAATAAAACACCTGACCAAAGGAGAAAGAAGGAAAACAAAGAACAGAAATAAACTATAACCCCTCCATCCAGCCCTGGAAAGCCACCCTAGTGCCCCTTGGGTTTAAATGCATCAAGAGCATGGTTTCTAGAGGCAGGTACACAGGGAAGGTGGCAGAGGACATACCCCCCCTAGTGGCATTACCTATGGGTAGCCTCTATAAAGATAGGCTGTCACTCAGAAAGGAAAATTCTAGTTCACACTAGTTCCCACGCCTATCTAATTCCATGCCATATCCTCAATAGACTGAGAATCTTGACGACTAATATGTTGTATTGTTAATACAAGTAAAAGCACTTCTTGCATTTTAATCTCTTGGCCTGAACACAAATAGTTTGTGAATAAGTGCTAAAATGAATCTGGCATTTGCACACACTCTACCTAAACCAGTAAAGTAAGAAATGCTGAGGAGCAAGATGGATTGAGCTCATCAGAGCAGGAATATGCAGCTATCTGTAGGACTGAAAAAATGAACAGTCTCTGAAAGGTTGCTGATGGGTTTGCTTTTTTTCACTGCCAAGGTCTTCCCACCTCCTTCCTCTCTTTACTGTCATCACCACTCATAAAAGCTTCTGGAACACTCGCCTCACTGCACTCCCTCCTGGAGTGTTTTTAAAAAAAATTTTGAACTCCCCCAACTTCTTGTTCATTCCACTGCTTTGATTCTGCGTGTTTACATTAACAAGTCAGTTTTAAAGTGCAGCAGTGAAGTAAATATACGTCTCCTTTGATTAACTTCTATATCCCAGTGCACAGCAATATCATAAACTGTATATGTGCAAAACGTGTTTACTGAGGGATTCCCTTTCCAGTCCTTAACCCTTAAATCATCCAAAAATTCAACAACAGTTTTTAACCAACCCAAATGTCCTTTCCTAGACTAAAAGCACATACCTTAAGGAACTTGGTAATGATATCCATGTCCTTATGATCATCGCCTTTTCCTAAAGATTCTCCCAATGCCTGCAGAAAAACAATGCTTCTGTTCATTAGTAAAGACCAACAGCTGAATAGACGTTCTCAACACCAGTCTGAACAGGGACCTTTATTACATATACTAATTTCTATTTTTAAAAAACCTAAAGGAATTTCTAGGTAAGTTAAAAAACAAGAAAACACTGATTTGTCAGTGAAATTTAGAGAGCAAGGTATCGTTTATAAATCAAAAGACAAAAAAAGGGGGCTTAGGGAACTAATGGGTAGACTTCTTTGTAAGGGAACAGAAACGTTCTAGAATTAGGTCGTGATGATGGCTGCATCAACCTGCGAATATACTAAAAACCAGTGAATTGTATATTTTAAATGGGTAAGCTGTAAAGTTTGTAAATATCTCAATAAAGCTATTTAAGAAAAAAGAAAGCCCAGAAATGGTTGCTCACACTATTTCTGTCAAATTTAGGGTTCCAAGAAAGGTGCTGGGGGTGGTAGGAGAAGAGGCACAATTAAAACAACTATGATCTCACGAAGAGTGCAGCCAGGAATGAAAAGAAAAATAACAGTTTATGTTTATTAAGCAGAAGCTTTCAACTAAGCCATAATTTCTGCTTGAGCTAGATATTTAGATAGCACAACACAGCTTTTTAATTAGGATTACATGTATCACTCCATATTCAACACGTTGGCAAAAATTAAAAAGCAAGATACTGCCAAGTGTTGGCAGGGCTGTGGGAGTAAAAGTCTTGCCCACCCTCCTGATGGGGGTGTAGACTGGTACAGCCATTCCAGACAGCAACGTGACAGAACCTGGACAAGTTACACATATATAAATCCAGCCATCCTGCTGAGTCCACAGGGGTTACATACAAGACTATTCATCACAAAGCTGTCTGTAGTAATAGGGAGCTGGGAGCAATCCAGCTCTCATTACAAGGCAACAAAAAGTAAAAGGCAGTGAATGCCACAAAATATGAAATGCTATGCAGCAGTTAAAAATCAATGGTTCAGATATACATAAAGCATCAAGGACGGATATTAAATACAGTTCCAAGTGGAAAAAAGAAATGTAAAAAAAAAATTCACAGTATAGTATCATTTATGTACATTAAAAACACAAGCATACAAAATACTACTGGTTTTACAAGACCACCAACAAATAAGAGGATGCACATCAAATATATCAGAATGTGAGTGGAGAAAGAGTAAAGAGGGAGTGAATAGGGGCGCCTGGGCGGCTCAGTCATTAAGCGTCTGCCTTCGGCTCAGGTCATGATCCCGGGGTCCT